TCTTATTCTTTTCACCCTTTCCTTCTTGGATAAAAGAAAAGTCGATGGCGACTCTTGCTATCCGCAACAATTGCGATCAAAACGTAAAACAACCAAGTCAGTTCTCCCACCGTATTACACTTTCCATCAAGCTTCAAGAAAACAACTTCTTGCTATGGAATAAACAAGTGGAGGGAGTTATCCTTTCACATAAACTTCACAGAATTATGGTGAATCCACAGATACCACCGATGTTCGTCTCTGATGGTGATCGTATTTCCAACATTGTGTCTGAGAAGTATGAAGTGTGGGTTGTTCAAGATCAGGATTTGTTCACTTGGATGCTATTTACCATACCGGTAGTTGTTCTTCCTCGACTTCTCTCATGCAAACATGCACATGAGATTTGGGATAAGGTTCATAAACATTTCAATTCACAAATGAAAGCTTTAGTTCATTAGCTGCGAGAAAAACTTAAGATGAGCAAGAAAGGTTCTAAATCCATCTTTGAGTATGTTTTACGCATTCAAGCCATTGTTGTTTCACTACTTGCAGTTGGTGATCCCATATTTGAACGAGATATGATTGATGCTATCTTGCAAAGGTTACTAGAGGAATATAACCCTTTCATCATGGTGGTCTACAGGAAAGGTGAACCAACTAACATTTATGATGTTGAAGCTTTACTCTATGTCCAAGAAGCTCAATTAAACAAGTACAAATTGGAATTGGCCACACCAAGTTCAACTGTCAATGTGGCTCAAGCATCTCTTACTGAGAGTGCCACAAATGGCTTCTCCCATAATCATGGTCAGAACTATTATCGTGCTAGGGACATAAATAAGCATGGTAGAGGTCGTGGCAGGCAGAATTTTCCCCCGGGAAGAAGGCCAACATGCCAATTTTGAAATAAATATGGGCATTCAGTTCTTGACTACTGGCATCAATTTGATGAGAGGGCCAACTCCACCAAAATCTCAGGCACATGCTTCAACTAAAAATGACACTTAAAGTTCCAAGACTACACCTACTAGTGCTAATCCTGCTAATGCCTATCTATCCCATCACAACATATTGGAGGTTCCTTAAGAGCTTGAATCGCAAGCATGGTTTGCAAATTCATGTGCATCCAACCACATAACTTCAAACCTTATGAATATTCATACTGTGAAAGTGTCTACGGGTCCAAATATGGCATTAATTGGTAATGGTTTTTGTGTAGATGTCAAATCCATAGGTCATTCCATAATTATTTCTGGTCTTGAGTCTAATATTGCATTGTATCTTAGTAACATACTTCACGTTCCTTCAATTACCAGAAACTTTATTTATGTTTCTAAATTTGCTAAAGATAACAATGCCTATTTTGATTTCCACTTTAATGTGTGTTTTATCAAATCTCAAGCATATAGTGAGATTATTCTTGAAGGCTTCATAGATGAAAGTGGACTTTACTTCTACACCAACATTCACTTGGAACCCTCAAGACCTAACTTAAGTCACAAGTTTCTCAAAACTGCTCCAAATGTTAACACTACTTTAGCTTCTTCGAGTAATTTTGATTCATGTAATGCTAATAAAGTTGTAAAACATAGTAGTTGAGCCATTTGGCATTCCATATTAGGTCATGCAAATTCTAGGGCTCTCAAGAGCATTTCCCAATTGTGTAACATTCCTTTGAGTAATAAAAGTTTTAATGACTTATGTAATTCATGTTATGTTGGTAAGTCTCATAAGTTACATGCTCCTGCATCCAAAACCAGTTATGCTCACCTATTTGACCTTGTATTCAGTAACATATGGGTGCCTTCTCCTTCACTTTCTAGTGGAGGATACTCATACTACATTGCCTTTGTTGATTTCCTCAAACAAAAGAGTGATGCCATGGGTGCTTTCAAACTCTTTCAATCATATATGACAACTCAATTTCAAGTGGATATCAAGGCAGTCTAATTAGACTTTGGAGGTAATTTCGACCTTTCACCAAGTTCCTTCAAAAGTAAGGCATAGTTCACAGGCTAACTTGCACTCATACATCTCACCAGAATGACACTTTTGAATGCAAACATAGACAAACTGTTGAATTAGGACTCACACTTTTGGCTCATGCAACTTTACCCATCACCTATTGGGATCACAACTTTACTTTAGTTGTATATCTCCTAAACAAATTGCCTACGAGTGATCACCCTAAATACATATCACTTTTCTTCATCGTGCACAATAAACAACCAGATTGTGAGTCCATAAGAATCTTTAGTTATGCCTACTTTCCTCATTTGAGGCCCTACGATCACCATAAGAAGGAGTTTCGAAGTGTCAAGTGTGTGTACTTGAGAGTCTCTCCAACTCATAAAGGCCACAAGTGCCTCACCATGGAGTTTAAGGTCATTATCTCTAAATATGTAGCTTTCAATGAACATGAATTTCCCTTTCAATTGGATTCAATCTACATGAGGCAGCCACTTTAGCCACACAAACTCTCGTGTCCTCATTTCCCACGAGTCTGCTATAGAACCATTCAAATGCCCTTATACCTAGTGTACCTATTGCACCACCTCCAACACACTCATCACTTAGTGAGTTTCCAGTCCCTACAAATGAAGACTCTTTGCTTGAACCCTTAACTCCCCCGAGTACTTCTCATAATCTACACACATTTACACCTGAGGTTAGAGTTCCCGACTCAATTTCGCCTGGATCTAGCCAAAACGTGACACCTAAGGTATCCACTCCTGAGCATATTTCTCCTAAACTATCCTCATCTCTATCTCCATCCTTTCATGGCCATTCTTCCCCCACCTCTCTAGCTCAAAACTCTCACCTTATGATCACAAGAGCCAAACTTGACATCTTCAAACCTAAAGTGCTCTTAGCTCATGCAGAACTCCTTACCGTTAAACAAGAACTTGTTCAACCTAACTGGTTTAAAGCCATGAAGATCGAGTATGACTCCTTGCTGAAGAATTATATATGGGTTCTCACCCCTTTATCTTCTCATAGGAAAACAATTTGGTGCAAGTGGTCTTCAAGGTCAAGGAGAATCTCTATGGCACTGTCAACAAGTACAAAGCCAGGATCGTGGCCAAGGGCCTTCATCAACAACATGGTTTTGACTTCCATAAAACCTTCTCACCAATCATCAAGCCTACATTAATTATAGTGGTTTTGACTCTAGCCATTACTCTCAAATGGGATATTAAGCAGATAAACATTAATAATGCATTTCTCAATGGGGATTTACAAGAAGAAGTCTTCATGGATCAACCACCAAGGTTTCAGACATCTGATTCTACAATGATGTGCAAGCTTAAGAAGGAAATATATGGCCTCAAGCAGGCTCGGCATGCATGGTATGAAAAACTGCACCATGCACTAATTCAATTTGGTTTTGCATCTAGTCGATGTGATCCTTCTCTCTTTGTCTACAATCATCAAAATGTCTCACTATATGCTTTAGTTTATGTGGATGAAATTCTTGTCACTGGCTCTTCAACTAAACTCATTCATGTTCTCATTGATATACTTCATGACAAATTTGCACTTAAGAAACTAGACACTTCTCGATATTTTCTGGACATTGAGGTACATAAACAGACTCAAGGACCTCTCTTACTCACTCAAATAAAATACATTAAAGACCTGCTTTCCAAAGTAAACATGGCTGAGGCAAAAGGAGTTTCTACACCCATGTTCAATCAACACAAACTCGGCAAGCATGGCACAGACACTCTCTCAGATCCTCTTCTCTATCGCTCCACTGTGTGTGCCTTGCAATATGTCACTCTCACGCGTCTAGATATTTCCTTCTCAGTCAATAAGGCATGCCAATTCATAACATCACTGTTGGAATCTTACTGGTCTGATGTCAGACGCATCTTGCATTACTTGAGTGGCACGACATCTCACGGTCTTCGTCTTGCTCCAGCCACACAACTCACCCAATTATCCCTACGTGCTTACAGTGACTCAAACTGGGCTAGTGATCCAGATGACAGGCATTCTACATCAGGTTCATGTGTATTTATGGGACAAAATCTCGTAGCATGGAGCTCCAAGAAGTAGGTACTAGTGGCACGGTCGAGCACTGAAGCTGAATATTGTGTGTTAGCTCACACCACCACTGAACTACTATGACTTTAATCACTCCTTTCTGAGCTCAAAATCGAGCACTCAGTTCCCACTCTCCTCTGTGACAATATTAGTGCAATGATGCTGGCTCATAATCCAGTTCTACTCGCACAAACCAAACACATTGAACTGGACATCCATTTTGTGCGCGAGAAGGTGGTCCCCAATCAACTTCAAATTCAACATGTTCCAACACATGCTCAATTGGCTAATGCCCTTACTAAGCGACTACCTACAACCATATTCTCTTCCTTTCGTGATAAACTCAAGGTGTATGCTTTCGATCCCACTGAGTTTGAGGGGGCGTATTAAAGTAAGATCATGAAGTTTCAAATTTGAAGCTTGCATGACCATAATAAGTCTTGATGTTGAGTAGTATAATTAGGTAGTTAGAATATCTAACTTTCAAATTAATTACAACAAATCATAGTCTCTCTTGAATCAATCAATGAAACATGCAAGCTAAGTTTGCATAGTGCAATATTCTCTTCATTTTAACAATTTTGTTCAATTTTTGTCCAAACTCAAAAAATGTCCAATTCAAACACCAATATTTAGATTGAATTCTAATTTGATGAAAGCTATGAATACCCCTAGTCATACCTAATGTACCAACCAACCACCCAACAATAATGTGGAGGAGTTGGTAGACTTAAGCATCTTTTGACATCCTATTTCTGTTATAATAATAGTAGTAATAAAAGCCATATAGATGTTAACGGATAAGTTGAGAACCATTTTACATTAATGCAAGAAACAAAAGAAAAAATCGCATAAAAGCACTAAAACAAGACATGTGAAAATTACGTTGCCACTATTCGAAACCGAAACCGATAACAAATGTTAATCACGATTCACGACACGATCTCAAGTTGATTCATAAATAAAGAATGAATTTGGGCTTTAATTTTGGTCCAAACACACTTTCAATCTCAACTACTACTACTACTGGTAGTAAATTTTCACCTTCTTTGATTTTCACCACTCCAATCTCTCACCCCCAAACCAATTCTTCAGGTAAATCACCACCACCTTTTCTTTCAATCTCTTTCTTCTCTATTTCCACGCACCTCTTCTAAATCTTGTTCTGTTCTTCATACATGCAGGTAGTAAAAGCTTATTTTTTCGTGTGCAAAACATTGATCATAATCATATTGAGTCAACACCTACTACTCCTTTCATGGCTTCTCAACAGGGAATTCAACAAGGTAACCCTAATTTTTATCCAGATATTGAACCCTATAGTACTGGTTTTTTGAAGGTTTCAGATCTTCATTCAATCTACTGGGAGCAATCAGGAAATCCAACTGGCCATGTGAGTACCAATTCCCATCACTAACCTAAAATTTCATATTTTATAGTGTGAATTCTCATTTGTCATGACAATATGATAGTTTGTTTAGTACATGTTTGCTTCTGCTGGGAAAGAATTGATTTTGAGTAAATTGATTCTATAAAGTTGATTCCAGTGAGTTGAATGTAGTGTGACTTCAATTCTAACTTCAAATATAATCAATTTTGGAAGGAGATTCAGGGTCCATTTGTTTGGACTGTTTTTAAAAATGATTTTTTTAGTGTTACATAATTTTGTGTAAAAAAAAATTTACAAAGAAAAAGTTTCAAATGAAAATTTGGTTTGAATGGTTATTCTTAAAATGTTATTTTAGGTATTTCATCTTTTTTATTGAAACGTTTTTTGGATATTAAAATTTCAAACAATCACTTAATTTTGAAGCTATTTCAAATAAATTTTCATAAAAATCATTTTTAAAATACAACTTTTTGAAAAATTGCGATTTTGATTATGTTTTGGTCTTCCATAATATATGATTATGTTATAAGATATCAAAATTAGTGTTTCAATTTAGAAAAAATGAATATAAAAACACTTATAATATTTTGAAAAACGGTTTTGTAAAATCTATTTTCAAAAATACAAAGAATATACTTTTTTAAAGATGAAACAAGCAAGCCTTCAATTCTACTTTAGAAGAACCAAACACCTCAAAATCATTCAAATCAATTCTATATCTCTTAAATTAAACATACACTTAACTTGTTCTTGAAATTAACAAAATTTCAAAATAATACCTAAAATTGAAAGTCCCCCATCTCATTGATTGCAATTTGAGGGTATAAATTGATGATTCAAAAGAAACAATGTGATTGAAGATTTTGAATTCATGGATCATTTTGGAATTTCATTCATTTTAAGGATCAAATTATTCAAAACCTATAATTTCATAGACTAAATTGGTGATGAACCATTTGAAGTTTCAAATAATAAAGTTTTGAACTTTTCTGGCAGCCTGTTGTCTTCCTTCATGGAGGTCCTGGAGGTGGAACTTCCCCGAGTAATAGGAGATTTTTCGATCCTGAATTTTACCGAATCATACTATTTGATCAGGTTAGTTTCCAAACTCTCGTGTGTAATAATTGTCTGCATCTCTTGGGAGATTACTAATTCTTCACTTTATCAGCGAGGTGCTGGGAAAAGCACACCCCATGCCTGCTTAGAGAGTAACACCACATGGGACCTCATCGACGATATTGAAAAACTAAGAGAACATTTGGAGATTCCCGAATGGCAGGTCACCTTTCATCTCCGGCTATTTACAGCATACATACATTTTGTGATTCTTATGTGATTGTATATGATTTTGTGATCCATTTACTATACAGGTATTCGGTGGGTCATGGGGAAGCACACTTGCCCTTGCATACAGCCAATCTCACCCAGACAAGGTGTATATCATGTTTTGATTTTCATTGCCTTCTTTTAAATTATATAGAAATATGTAACTTTTAATATGTTTCTATTGTTGTAGCATCACTAATGATTGTGTAATCTATAATTAAGGATTTTTTTTTTAAAAATTTTGTGACAAGGTTACTGGCATGGTCCTCAGAGGAATCTTCCTTTTAAGGAAAAAAGAGATTGATTGGTTTTATGAGGGTGGTGCTGCTGCAATATTCCCAGATGGTATAAACCTTTTTTTTTTATTTGTTTGTGTAGTGAATTAATTTGAATAATTGTCATGCAAAATAAGCATTCCTTTTAAACTAAGAAGCTTTTCTTTTACTTGTTTCATATATCAAATAATCCTGGAACTTCAGGTTATATGAGCTTCTTTGCATGCGAGATTTGCATAATCTCGTAATTGATTTGATTGTGATCTATGGTTGATAGTTTGTGCATTTTAATCTAATGTCAGCTTGGGAGCCATTCAGAGATCTTATTCCAGAAAATGAGAGAGGATGCTTCATTGATGCTTATAAGAAGAGATTAAACTCTGATGATATCGAAACTCAGGTGATTATCTATATATGGTTTCTGAGCTTGCTTTCTACCCTTTCCATCCATAATCAATTAAGGGTATTCAGGGAACAATCTCTTTTTCTTTTTTTTTCAATATAAAAAGAACGGTCCTGAGTTGTTCTTTATTTGTTTCTTATGTCTAAATCATCCCATAAGAGTTTTTGTTGTTTACTTACCTATATCTTCATTCTTAGTATGCAGCCGCTAGAGCATGGACCAAATGGGAAATGATGACTGCTCATCTTTTTCCAAATGAAGAGAATGTCAAAAGAGGAGATGATGACTACTTTTCACTGGTAAGTTCATCAAGTGAGAAATAATATGGATTTTGGCTGATAAAAAAGCTGTGATAGACCATTATTGAAATTCTATCATAAAACCTTTCTTTATTTGATTATTTCTATCAATTTTTGTATGAGACTCTGAAAAATATGGTTTGATTCTTTGTGATTTTATTTTATCATATTTAACTATGACAAAGATAATTTTAAATACATCCCCAAGTCAAATAGTAAAAGGGATATAAAAAATAATTAGCGATAAAGCTCAAATGATATTTTATATGCATAGTAAACTTGGCCAAACAAGCTTATAAGTTAGTCTATTAAGCTATAAGTTGGGTTTATTGGCATTGCCAAACAAAGCCTCAAAGTGGAATAATAGGAGTCTTTCTTTTCTTCCTTTAAAAAAATTTAAGTCTACAATCTTATCTCTGTATGATGATGACTTATGACTGATGTCAAGTGATATTTTTTTCTATTAGGCATTTGCAAGGATCGAAAACCACTATTTCATCAACAAGGGATTCTTTCCCTCCGATTCATTCTTGTTAGATGGAGTTGATAAAATAAGGCACATCAACACCATAATCGTGCAGGTAAATAAATAATCATATTTTGCTGCATCCTTTCAAATTCAGACTCTTATTATCTTCATGCTTGATTCTATAGGGAAGATACGATATGTGCTGCCCTATTATGTCAGCCTGGGATCTTCATAAAGCTTGGCCAGAGGCAGATTTTCGGGTAAGAAGAGAGTGGTTGCTTTTGGTCATTGGTCTCGATTACATTCAGTGTTTTTTCTGCATGCTATGATAATTATATATGAAGTTTCACATATGAAATACAGGTGGATTTCAATTAGTGATAGGCTAAAGGATCTTTTGTTTCCTCATATGAAATACAGGTGGTAGCGGATGCAGGACATTCAGCCAATGAACCGGGCATAGCTGCTGAACTTGTGGCAGCAAATGAGAAATTGAAGAACATACTCAAGAATAAAGGGGACTAAAGTGAGTGGACAAGCAAATAGACACAAAAGGCGCGTGCAGTTGGTGACTAATCAGAAACATCCTTAGCAAGCTTTTTTGTCTGCAAAGAAATAAATTACAAATGTTTGTGTATCACAATTTTGTAAAATTTGCCTTCATTGTCTATGACTCATATTAGCAATGAATTTTAATGCTTCTTTTGATCCCGGATTTTTGCCTGGTGGTTTATATCATTCATAACTTGTTGAGTTTTAATCATTGTATCGAAATCAACTCAGCTAAAAATGCGCTCTTTGATTGAAATTGCTATGTGCAATACAAATGTTTGTGTATTGCAATTTTGTATAATTTGTCTTTGTGGTTTGTATCGTTTATAACTTGTTGAGTTTTAATCACTGTATCGAAATCAACTAAAAATGTGCCTCTTTGATAGAAATATATATGGGTAATCAAATGATAAGTTTTTTTTTTTTTTCACAATTACACATATCTTTGCTATTATCATTACAAATCTTGTGTATGAATCAAATCTAATATTACACAAATCAACAAATATTCATCTATCTATCGCTTGTAGGTTACAACAACAAATATTTTTCTTAAATTTAACAAAACAACTCACTCAACAAAATTCAATGATGATATTGAACAACAAACTCTACATTCATATCTAAGTTGGTTTCCTGGTGGTGCAGCTCTTGGGCACATGGATACTATGAAACTTTGGTTCCTTGGGAACAGTCAAAGCTCTCTTTCCTTGTAAATAAGACGCGTCGTCATGTTTACATGGCTCTGCTGTTTCCTTTGATTTTACAAAAGCTTTTTCTTTCTTCCTTGACAAAACACTGCAAGATGCACTTTTATTGTTAAATTTCCAATTCCAAAAACCATTATTACAACACATTGAGATTGGGGATTAATTTTTTTAAAATTTCAAACTGATTTGTTACTCTTACCTTAGAGGTCTCACACCGTGATGTTGCATCATTTTGGATTTTCTTTTGAAATTTTCTTCCAGAACTATATTTTTCTGAAGTTCAGCACCGAGATTTCTTGGAGGTGTTTTGGCAGATAATTTATGGTTCACTTTGCTGTTGGAAATGTTGTCACTATGAATGTTTCCCTACACAATGTTTTGATTGAGGAATTTAGCCATTGTCTCTAAAAAACACACATCAAGCAGTAATTCATATGCTTAACAATAGTCTCTCATCTGCATGAACTTACAGTTTGGTGTCCTTGTGTTGTTTTGTGCGATTTATCGCTTTGTGCTGTTTTGTGAGATTTCTCGTCCCAGTTGCTATAATTGTCACGATCACTTTGTGACATATAAGTATCATTTTTCTGAAAAAAAAGTAAATTTTAGATATACAACGACAAGTATTGGGAGGTATAGAACGAAATTTAATCGGCTTACATTTTTATGTTTCCTTATCGCGGCCTTGTCATCTTTAGCCGTGGTATCTTTCAAGGGAGAGGTGATTTTCTTCTCCAAGTTTGCTTCTTTGAGAATTCCCCTTTCCTGCAGCATAAAACTAATAGCATAAATCACACTAGATTATTGTAACTTATTTTCTAAACTAATAAACCAACAGGAAAAGAAACCCTTACTTACATCAGTTCTAAACTTAAAAGGCTTAGGATTGGTGGGCTTTAATTTTCTGTATTTTACAACTTGAGAACCCATTGTAGTCGGTGTAGATTTCTGTTTCAAGATCGTAAAAAATTAAGATAAAAATCTGAGAAAAAAAATAACATCAAAGAAACTCTAATCTATACCAGACCTTATATATTTTTCTATCGTCCCGCTTGCTTCCAAGAACGGCATATTTGGAACCAACACTGTTGTTGGTACTCATTGTTCTGCTTTCACAAAAAATTCAATGATTACTTGACGTTTAAGAAACACAAGAAAAACATAATGAAACACATTTTGAAACAAATCAAATTGCTTACATATTCTCACTAGGTGCTGAAGAGTTTTCCTTATCATCATCATTCTCAGTAATTTCGATCCCATTTTCTTTATCATCATAAGCCATTGAATTTTCTTCAACCTTTCTTTTAATGACTTCAGGAATTCTTCCCTTGTCTAAGACTGTGATTCTTCTCTCTTCATTTTCACTCTCTTCAAAAGTTTTCTGTTCTTCATTTGAACTTGACACCAACGTGAAATCATCTGTAGAAGCTAAGGACGGTGCTAGAACCGAACTCTCCCCTCTTTCTAGAGAGCAACTCGTTGATGACTGCGACGAGGTAATATCATTTCTAGAAGCTAATGACAGAGCTAGAACTGAACTCTCTCCTCTTTCTGGAGAGCCACTCCTTGATGACTGCGAGGTAATATCATTTCTAGAAGCTTCTGACAGAGCTAGAATTGAACTCTCTCGTCTTTCTATAGACTCATTCCTTGATTTTTCTTCAATCCCCATGTCATTAGAGTCACTTTGCGAAACAAGAACCTTGTGTTTCTGCATTGCTTTCACTTTCTTCTCCTTTAGACAACTAGTAGTGTTACTTTCCAGTTCCTTTCGGTTACTAGAATACAATGAATTGAATACACGGCTTTTAACCTCTCGTCCCCTGAATTGCGGCTTTCTAGAGGAAGCCACCTGCAATGAGTTATTACATTCTTCTCCATTCTTCTTCACTCCAGTGAATTCAAGCTTCTTCATTGCAGAACACAATGTTTTCATGGATGTATCCATTTCTACCGAACTCTTGGTCCCAACTACCTTTGGTGAGTTGAAAACCAATGTCTTGACCTTCTTTGGTGAGTTAAAAACCAATGACTTGGCTACTACTCTGCTTTTAGCCTTAGCCACAGCAACTGTCATTGATTTCTTGTTCTGAACACTTCTAAACTGTTCCAAATTAGAAACTTTCTTTTGATTCCTTGGAGTAGTTAAAGCCTTCGTCACAGAGGAAGGTTGCTTCACCTTGGCATCTGGAGTTGTGGTAACCTTAGAAAGAGGTTTAACAACTGTCACAGTATTCTCAGTTACCTTATGCGACAAGGAGGAAATTATAGCCATTCTTGACATCCTTGGCTTTGCTGGGGCTGAAAGAGGGCACTTCAAATTTGAACTGAAAAACAACATCACAGAGAAAAATCAGGTTACTTAAAAGCTCGACTACACAACATTTTAAGTCGCGGAGAATCAAAGTCAAAGATGCCTAATGTTTCGGAGAAAACTAAAATCCTTAATGTTAATGACTAGGGATCTACTTGGATTGATTCATTCAAGATTATCTACCGGCGTAAACACTCTAGACTATTTGAGAAGCTTATGAAAACCGTTCAACTTATCTCATATAAACGAAATCAATTTGACTCTACTATATCTTTTTGTTTATAGAAGTAGCTTATACTTATACACTTATATGATAAGCAATTATCTTATACTACTAGCTTAATTAAGCTGATTATCTAAATATAACCTAAATTCAATTGCATTTGAAAACCATTTCCAAAACCTCGGCTCTACCTCTACCAACTATACTAAGAAACACCTTGAAGAAACTGCTTCCAAAACAAGATCTTACCTTGCTTCTCTTTCTCTTCTACTCAAAGCTTTTCTGAGTCGAACATTAGGACTTCTAGCTGCCATAACCTAAAAATCCAACACAAATCGGAAGAAAAAAAATCATTACTAATTACAAATCATTCCTATTTATAGAAACAAAACAAAAACCAACCCTAAGAACAAAACTCTTGTAAATAGCTTCAGAATCCAATTCTTCTTCATGCTTTTGATCACATCCTGAGAATTGAGTTTGAATTAAGTTCGAATCAGCAACAGAAAGACAAAATGAAGCTGAAAATGAGAATTCAGAGTTAGTTACTATTACGGAACGATAAAAATACCGAATCGTGCGCAGAACCAGTGGCGATCATCGTCGGGATGGCATTTATCGGGCGCGGTGAAGTCGACGAACTTAGGTGCTTCGATTTTCTCGTAGAAATCGTCGTCGATTTCGAATTCATCTTCTTCAATTATTGGTAAGAATCGATTTTCTGCCAT